ATATGCTGCGCGAAATTTGGATTTCACCGCCAAGTGTGTTAAATCCAAATTAACTTTCTAGTACAGTTTCAAACCCAAACATTAAAATTAAAAGTTCATTCTTAGTTAGAAAGATTTCTGCAACGTTCCTATAGCAGAAGAGAGAAAAAAAATCTTTTATTTATATAACATAGGTAATACCTAAAGGTATAGTGTTACACCGTCTGCGATAAAATGTTTATCATTTATTCTTTGTAGTGAATGAACTCCACTAGTACGACAATCTCACAAACAAGTTGTAGCTTTGTTTATTCATTTGCAAAGGTTGTAACTAGTAGAAAATTGTTAAACATAGCGGCTGGTTATTCCTAATGTCCTCAATGAGTTAATATCTGATATCTATATAGGATGAAATAAGACCTATTATTTACTATAGGTACCTAATTGTTATTTAATATGGGTTTAATGTTTTGAAAAATAAGTACGGTAAATGCTTGTTATTTCAAAAAATCCATACTGGCGTACGATCGTTTTAATATACTTTCAGACAGCTGGCTATCGCGCGATGGGCGATGAAATGCTGTGCGATGCGATAAATTCAAACCTCCGTTTATTTTATGCGATGCGATGCTACTTTGGGCGATGGTTTGAAATTCAAGCAAGTTTGATTGATCACCAGTCATCGCAAGCGAAGTATGGCTTTATTAACGAGCCCTAGCGAGTTTATCATTTTGCGGTGTCTGTCCGTCCTAGGGAATGCAATCCCGCAGCAAAATCTCCATCCCGGTATTTGCGGGATTGTTAGAAGTTAATCCCGCGGGATCCCGGTATTTGAGGGATTCCGCAAAATTTTAAATAAATTGGCAAATAAGCAATTCTGTGCGGTCTGTATTAAAACAAATCGCTAATTATCACAATATTTAACAAAAAATTACCTTCAGCCTAACTTAGAGCTCAAAAAAACCTCACCTTTAAAGCACAAAAGGTGAACTAAAGTGCCTCAAAAATCATAGTAGGTACATTTTTAACGAAAAAAGTTTAACAATTATTTAAAAAATAACTTCTCCGTTATGAGTTTCATTAACAAAGTAAACAAGAGTCGTCCCTTGGTCGACAAATTCCTCAGTCTCGCAAATCCCGCGGGATCCCGGTATTGCATTCCCTAGTTCGTCCGTTAGCACGATATCTCGATAACGAATGGACCGATGACAGTAAAATTTAGTACAGGGATTCTTTATCAAATTTGTAGATTGGAGTTCGTGAATTGGCAATGTAGCCCAAAAAATAAGGAAGCCCCTTTTGACATCTCTGTGAGTTATGAACCGAATTGCATGAAATTCAATATGCATATAGATTTAGCTATATAAAACGCAATTCCAAAAATTGAGCCTAATCGATCAACATTCACAATGCCCTTTTCGCATCTCGACCATTTATAAACTGAATTGCAAACTTTTTATTTATGAAGGTATTTAAATGAAATTTGATACATGGGCACTTGGAATAAAAGCAAATTTAACGCCAGTTTCAAAATTTGGCTTTGCGCATGCGCAGTGCCAACTTTCATATTTATGGAAGCAATTAAATGAAATGTCATACAATTACACTTTAAATAAAAGCAAAACTAACATCAGGATTAAAATTTGGTTTTGCACATGCTACAGCCATACCCAGGAGCTCGTTTTCTATATTTGTTTATTTGATTCTCAATATAATTAAATGTGTCCAAAGTCATTTGAAAATACTTATTTTACAACAACCGATATCAATTTCACAAAAAGGTGATAAAATTCACAAAATACCGTTCCTTTCATATTGATGTATTTACCAATTTACGATTTTATCCGGTTAATTTGGATTCTACCACTGCGCCTTTAATGAGCCTTTCTTTGGAAGATTTTGTGAAGTCTTCCAATCGGAAATGTTTTTCACAGATTTTTTTTTTTATGAATTCGGTGACAGTGGAATCAGATGTGTAGCCCCTGTAAAGACGTGCTTTTTTATCTATAGGGAAGATTTATTTGATGATTGTATATAATTGGGCCACCGTGAAGTTGGTCACCAAAAATGGGTTCGAAAATGTATAAGGTACCTACCTATTCAACTTGATGAGAGCTGAGAGCCCCAAACAAATTCTGCATAAATCCCCAAAGATAAATGAATTACCTTCTTCAGAATTCAGTGTAGCAAAACTTGTTTGGATGATTCAAGGTATCTCTCCCGTTTCTGGAAAATCCGGTTCCAGAAAATCACAGCCGGTCAACTTCATCATAGTATACCGAAATGATTTCGGAAAACCTCCGGCGATTAATATACCCTTCTTCTAAATTGAATGTAGGTATCACAAACCAGCAAAGCTCAAAATTAGATTGTTTGCATCGAAATCGATGACATTTAAGAACAATGTCGGCAAGCTTTTATATGTGCAACATTTAAAAGTAGGAAATAAGTCACGCAGTAATAAGAAAGTGAAACCTGAAAACCTCAACCTCAACAAACATTAACAAATGACAAAGTTATCTTCGGTTCTGCAAACGAAATTGATACACACATTACACATAGCGAATTTTTGATGCCGTTTACTTAAACTGCGTATAGTATTTTCGATAATATAACATTCGATTCTCGTATATCTCACCACGTAGAGTAGTTGCGACACAACAATTCGTTTGAATTAAGGATTAGATACCATTCGTTCATTTTCGAACCACCAATTTTTCACGGCGAACTTCATAGCAGCATTAATTGGTAATAGTTCATACTATCAATGAAACAAGAAGGACTAACCAGCATTATTAACCCAAACGCGGCACAGGTTTTCATCCTTAAAAGGAAATCCATACATTTTTAGATTGGGTTCCACTCGTTTTGAAACACCACATTGAAAGTATTGACAAATATTTCCTGCTTTGGCCATTTTTATAATTAACAAGTATCTAGGTATTTAAAACAATAATTGTAATAATAGACTATTTAAAACACAAAAATACGTCTTTATGAAAAGAAAAGGTGTATATGAACTGTTCAAGTGTTAAGCTTAAACACCGTGTTTTTTATATCCCTTAACGGTTAAGTAATGCGATTCCCTTTAAACCTTAATTCAAAGTTCATATTCGGCATCCCACAATAAATGGTTACACAATGCAAAAACGGAGGAGCTCCGTCTCAGCGAAAATGGCCCACCTCATGAAATGTATTTTTGAATAAATGGTGTCATTCCGTTGTAATCCGTATCCGTAAAAAAATACGAGAAAATTTATTTGCAAATGTCCTAACTTTCGTAATTATAATATGCACCTGAGATGGGATATCCTGACCTACAGATAAAGTGTTTTGACTTAAGGAAATATGATATTCTTTTCTTTAAATCATTTAAATTACGCATGCCTTCTCATATTTATTTAACAGTATTACAGTACAGTTTCCAACCATTCGTTTACGATAAAAAAAAGTGCATTTACGAGCTAAGCATTTGAACATTTTACGGCAGTAGCGCTAGCAGACGGATGTTTTTTCAGCGCAAACATTTCGTATATCTCATGAGCCGTCTGTAGTATTTTGTCTGTGCTATTACAAAAGGGCCAATGTTGTCGACACGTATTCGCTGAAAAGGTCCAGTTGGTGGCCGGATGGGATTTAATAATCCTGCCATTTTTCCTCCTGGTACTTTGTTGACTAAACACTCCATACAGCTAGAAATATGTCTTCTAGTATAACGACGTATTCGGGGAAACCAATGATTTTCAAGTATTCGGTTGACTGTTCGATCTACGGAGAAATGGCCCGCCAAGTCGTGATTCTTAACAACCATACTCTTGCGCATCGAGTTAGGAACCACAAACAGCTTCCGCCTCTTTGCATTCACTTCTCGATTAATTGTTAATTTTCCATTCAACAGTACATAGTCGGCAACCTTGTCCCTTTCTTCCTTTGACCTCCTGCCCTGTGGTTTTTCCAATATCTCGATTATCCCTCGTAGTTTGTCATCTTTCCGCTGGATCATGGTAATCTGTACACTCTCCGGAAATGTTAACAGCACCCTCAGCCGCTTTTCATAAATTCCATCTTCCTTATCCGATGCTTCCTCAATTGGAGCTCGACTTAGCGCATCGACATGAGCCATCTGTTCACCCTTTCGAAATTCAAACTCAATTGTACTCTTGGAGCAAGTTGAACCACCTGGCTACCTAGGGTTGCACACTCTTCTTGCTCTTTAGATATATTATTGGCAATCTGTAACAATCTTAAAGTTTATGCTGATTAGCAAAGATCTAAGTCTCTCTACACTCCAAATAATAGCTAAAAGTTCTAATCTAGAAGAATGATATCTACTCTCACTCTCGGTTGTCTTTTTAGACACACAATACACGAGTCGTTTCACGCCGTTACTGTCCGCTTGTAACAACATTCCCACGATACCGATCGCGCTAGCGTCTGTATGTAATTCGGTTTTAACATTCCGATTAATTGCAACACCGGCTCGTTAGTTAAGGGGGATCTCACACGATAGAAAAGTTTCTAAGGGGACTGAAGAGTGCTAAATATGTAAACGAAAGGGGCATGTCCTATTACATTCGTATGCATTACGGTAAACGGCGAGCAACCACGAGTTGGCTATTGCTTTGAACCAACTTTTTTACAGTGCCGCAGTAAGCAACCAGCCATTTGTAATTTAATTTATGCTAATTGATTACAAATTTGCAAAAACAACCTGATATGGTGGCGCGTACACTTTTATTTCAATTATAAGCTATTATTTATCTTTTTACAGCGATAAGCATTCATTTCTTTGTATATGTTTAATAAATTAAATGGGCGAATTAAAAATAAAGTTTTGCCTTATCAATTTCCAATTCACCAAAAATAAAACTTTATATAGCTCAGATATCTAACACATTCTATTAGTCTACATTTTTATGTTATGCGAGGTACTTCAATTAAAAATTTTCTTTTATTGGTAAAACGTCGGCTAAATTTAGTACTGAGGGCGTAAAGTTTTTAATTTGTGTTTGCGAAGTGTGATGTGAAAGCAATAAAAATGGACGAAGAAAATCATTATAGACGGGGGAATAAAACTCGTTTGCGCTTGAGCACCTATCGGAAAAAAAGAAAGTCTTTCCCTGTTAAAAAACAGGCAAGTGACCATTTGAACTGTTTGATAAGCACTTTTTGACAGTTATATTTTAGAATCCGATTTCAACAGCAGAGAATTCTTCAACTTCAGATCACAGCACTCAACGGTTCAGGGTATTTATTTCGATAAAATTACGTAGCTGACTACTAGACTACTTCATAATATGTTTTAGAATGATGAACCTAATTTTCCAACTTCACCTACTACTGCTTTGCCTTCTTGTTCTTATGTTATTCCTGAAAATCAACCAACTGTAAGTAGTGCGTATTACTTTTGAGGTATCTTATACTATAATAGTGTCAATTATGAATTTTGTGTAATATCTACTGAATTTAAATGTAAAAAAATTCCAAATTTTGATGACGTTTTGAACTTGTAGGGTAGTGCAACAATAACAAGCACATTCATGGATTTCCCAAATAGCCAAATGTTGGAAGGTCGACGCATTGTGGATATTAAATCATTTTTTGAATCTATTGTGCGTATAGGAGCACACGGTCAACAATTTGGCTGTTCGTTGAGCAACGTAGTGCTCCAAAAGGAAAAGATGCAGGGTATTCGTTCTTCCTTACACCTAAAATGTAACATGTGCAATGAAACGTTCAAGCTTGATACATCGGATGCCAGCGTCAACAGGGACGCGGTACTTGCCATGATGGCTATCGGTTCAGGCTTTTCCCATTTAGAACAAGTAACATCATCGTTGGAAATACCATGCATGTCATCACGCATGTACACTGCGTTGCACGATGAGGTGTCTGAAGCTTGGGAAGAAACAAGTTTAAGAACGATGAAGGAAGCCGCAGAGGAAGAAAAGCAAATTGCTCTACGTAATAAAGACGTCGATAAAAATGGTGTTCCATGTATCACGGTAGTAGCAGACGGAACTTGGGCGAAAAGATCCTACCATACAAATTTCAACTCGTCATCAGGTGCTGCCGCTGTTATTGGATACAGAACAAAGAAAGTTCTGTTTTTGGGTGTCAGAAATAAATTTTGCACGGTATGCAAAATAGCTGAAACAACAGGCGACACAGTTAAATCCCATACGTGTTTTAAAAATTGGAATGGGTCTTCGGCTGCTATGGAAGCTGACATTATCGCTGAGGGATTTTCAAAAAGCATGGAAATGTACGGCTTAATTTATGAGAAATTGATTGCGGATGGTGATAGCAGCTGCTATAAAAAAATTTTAGATACAAATCCTTATGAATCTGTGGTTGTCGAGAAAATTGAATGTAAGAACCACCTGTTAAGAAATTTTTCCAGAAAAATACGGGAGTTAATTAAAGACACATCATCGGGTCCACTAATACTTCGTAAAAAGATACAGGTAGATGTCTTGATTTTTCACTTTAGCCCTACATACAACTGTTAATTTATCATTTCAGCAAAATCAGTTAAGACTTCGTTGGGCGGTTTGCAAGGCAATATCTTTTCGAAAATCGGAACCTATTCAATTTCAAGAAAAAGTGAATAACTTGAAGAAAGACCTTGGCAACTGCATTAGTCATGTGTTTGGTGAACACAAAGATTGCGCAGCTTTGAAATATTTTTGTGATGCAGCCCCTATTGCGCATGGAAGTGTAGTAACGGATTTAAAGCACACAGGTACTTATTTTAAATTGTATTGTAAATAAGAGATATCATTTCGATAAACATTTTCGTCAGTTTAAATATATTCCATTATAGATTTACACGAGAAACTGGAATCATTCATAAATGTTTTGGTTCACCACGCTAGAAGCCTAATTCATGACGTGGACAGTAATATTGTGGAACACTTTAATTCTATAATTGCGAAATATATCGGAGGGAAACGTGTAAATTATACGAAAAAAAGGTCCTATCAAAGTAGATGTGCGGCAGCAGTTGTAGCCCATAACACCAAACAACCTTTATTTACGGTAAAAAAATATTTGTCTAACGGTCTAACTCCAAAACGGTATGCAATAAAAGCTGAGCTACGATCTATTAGAAGAAATAATTTAAAAAAACAAAAACCGAAAAAACCCAAATGTAGAGACAAGGAAAATGATAGAACTAGCAACAATAAAGATTATGGTGATTCTTGTAAAAAGCCAGATCTGAATTTGGAAGATTATGAATTAGCTAAACAGATTTTTTTAGAAAACCTACATAAAAGTGATCATGAAATTGAAAAAATAGAAAGAGCAACACAAACCCAAGAATCCTGCAGTCTGTGGTATATAGAAAGAAGAAAGCGACTTACAGCTTCTAAGTTTGGCGACGTATGCCGCAGGCGAGAATATACTTCGTGTAAAGTTTTAGTGGACTCCATAATATATTCTAAACACTTTTTTAGTCAAGCTTGTGATTACGGGAAGCGCAACGAAAAGAATGCGAGAGAAGCAGTTGAACAGGTTGTGGGAGCAAAAATTCAACCTTGTGGTTTGTTCATCGATTCGAGTCATCCATTTTTGGCGGCTTCTCCTGATGGCTTAATTGGAGACATGGGTATACTGGAAGTGAAGTGCCCATGGTCAGCCAGAGAAATGACTCCCGAAGAAGGCATTTCCAAACGAAAGATTTTGTTTTGGTCCAGCAAAGGTGAAGTGAATCAGAACCACAAGTGGTACTACCAAATTCAGGGACAACTGCACATCACCAGAAGGCAATACTGTGTGTTTGCTGCTTGGACACCAAAAGGGTTAAAAACAGAAACAATTTTGAAAGACGATCAGTTTTGGAAAACTGAGATGGAAGAAAAGTTGGTTTCGTTTTATATGAAGTGTTTATTGCCCGAACTTGTTGACCCCCGTAAAGTGCGCAATATGCCCATTCGTGATCCGGACACAATTTTACAGGCTATAGAAAACAGAAAAAGAAAGTTGCAGGCCGAATCTAATTGATTTTTTCGCCAATCGATGGTGTTTGGTAAAATTATAGTGACTTGTTATTTATTTTTAAAAAAATTGAGAAACAAAGAAAGTACCATTTACTTGCCTTTTCTAAATGTTATAATTCATCAAAATATCTTTTTTATGTCTGTTATATTTTCTTCTTGAAGCGCTCATTGATAGGGTTTTGTCACCCTTTCTGGAAATATACTTGTTGTATTGAGAGGCATATTTGGGAATGCAATCAGCTAGGGATTCCGAAGAATTCGAAAAATTTTGCCGCTACGGATTTTGACTTTTAAAGGTTGTGAATGAGCTGCGAAGTTTCTGAAAGTTCTGATGATTCATAAGGTTTTTGGTATTTAGATTTTTTCGCATCATTACATCCTTCCATTAGTTAATCTACTTATTGTTTGGTGTGAAGAAAATTTACGTCTTATTCAGTTGTTAATGCACTGACCTAATACAACAAAGAATTAATTCCATGCAATTCACTAAAATCGGTTGTGAGAAATCCTCCTTAATACGTCCAGTTTGCGTTCACGTTTAGTTCTTTTAAACGCGTAACGTCGCGCCACATTATGGTCAGTAAATTTCACAAAATGTTGAATTGCAAGGGTTTCGTGCACAAATTCTAGCAAGTTTATTTATGAATATTTTTTCTCCAAATTTTTGCTAGACAGAAGAAAGATAAATCTATGCTTCTGTAGTTTTACATTTTTAATTAATGTATTTATCAACCCCCCAACAATGCGGAAGTTTGGACAAATATTGGCTATGTTTACATTGATATTTCTTTCGCTCACTCGAGTAACTTAAAAATATGTTACTATAGAAGCATGGCAAATTTGTTTATGAACAGATTAAGCTATTAACCAATCTTCTATCCCGTAAAATAAAGTCTCAGGAATTTGTCCACGAAACTCCTGCATGCGCATGTAAATGAGCGATGTGAGATCCCCCTTAAACACTCTTTCAGTTTTTGAAAAGCTCCGCGACACTTATCGTCAAACTTAAATTCAACGCTCGATTTTGTCAGTTCAGTTGATGGTCTCGCGATCATTGCGTATCTTGTCACAAAACGCCGAAAGAACCCGGTCAACCCAAAAAAGTGTCGAACTTCATGCACGTTTCTTGGTTGCGGAAATTCCTCGACAGCACGCACCTTTCGAGGTCCTGGTCTTAGTCCGTTTTCGCAAATCAAATATCCCAAGTATTCGATTTGTTTTTTCCCGAACTCACACTTATTTATATTTAATGTTAAACCCGCGCTTCGAAATGCTTCGAATACTAACCGAGTACGTTTTAACAGTTCGTCCCAATCTCTGACGGGAATGATCACGTCGTCCAAATAGCAGCAGCACACCTTGTTTTTCAGCGGCCCTAGAACAACATTCATTAGTCGCACGAACTCATATGGAGCATTGGTTAGTCCAAAAATCATTCGACGAAATTCCCCCGTGGTGTCTGGAGTTATAAATGCAGTTTTCCTGGCAGCTTCTTCGGTTAGAGGGACTTGCAGGTATCCATTTGCAAGATCTAGGCTCGCAAAAATTTTATTCCCGGACAAATACTGGAACTGCTCGTCCATACTTGGAATTGGATAATTTGATTTTATAGTCTGCGCATTCAACTTACGGTAATCGACCACCAATCTCGGATCTCCGTTCTTTTTTCGGACTAAAAGCACGGGCGAAGCATAAAGGCTTGTTGTTTCAACAACCAACCCGCACATCTTCAGTTCATCCACTAATTTTTTGATGGTCTGTCTGTCTTCTTCATTCACTTTGTAGGGGTTGCACCTAACAGGTACGTTGGTATCTACGATATCCATAGTCGTGACTGTAGTACACCCTAACTCATCCAATGTAAGGGCAAAACAATCCCTAAATTGCATTACCAATTCGTAAAGATCGTTTCGCTGATCTACGGATATTTCAGGATCGACATTCAGCATGTCTTGGGTGATTGGCAGCTTACGAATTAATCGATGGTCTCTAATGTTACTACTCGGAATAATCTGCCCCCGCTTACAATGTATTTCTTTATCGCAGGCGTTATAGACCCTGAATATTTGCGCCTTTTTCCCCTCCGTTGTGGCACAACAAAACCCCATGGTTTTTCTCGCATATGGTGGTATGATATCTTCCATTGAGATCTTTAGGTTCGCCCTAGTAATACTTCTCACATCTAAATCCTTGAACGGCTCTGCAAACGCATATCCAAAAACAAATCGGTTGCCCTTCTTCACATACGCTGTTTGAATGTATGCAACACAGTGTATATTAACACTGTACGTAACTAACTTCACTTGTACGTAACTACTAGTAATGTAATGGAAGACAAATAAAGTTTAAGTTTATATTCTTTATTAATTATTATCTTTCACAAGTATAAGACAACCAAACATACGCAATATGGTTTTGTGCACTAAAGTTTCTTCCGATGAGCAAATCAGTATGTTGGGCAGTATCTGGAACAACATACAATTCCACTGCTTCTCCGCTGACGTTATCGATGGTGATCTTTGCGTGAATCTTTCCTATGCAGTACAGTACTGGCTTCTCATTCCCAAATCCGTATAACGGTTGCATCTCGGCTATTACGTTCAAATTAAATTTTCGGTATTGCTTCACCGTACATACCGAACTACCAGTACATACAATGAAACCGTTTACTGTTGTCATTCAAGACGATGCACCTTGTAAGTTTTTCACCTGCATCCTTTGTCACGTCGGTACTTCGCTGCATATTCTTACTTATTACATTCACCCTTTTCCTGATAGTATTGTCTCGCTGAGAGCTTCGACCACCCACGTCGTTTTGTTGAGGACGAGAACGTGTATCTCGTTGTTTTCCCCCGTTGGGGCAACTGCTCGAATAATGACCAGGCTGCTGACACTCGAAGCAAACTAATTTTTCCCGTCTACATTGACTAGCTATATGCCCGCTCAATCCACAAGTGAAGCATCCCTTCGAAGTGCTCCGAACGTTACCACTGGCTCTTACTCGATACGACTCCAGCTCGTCTGATCTAGTACCTTTCACACGTTCAATCACCAAAATATCTTTCAACAGGCTATCTAAGTCAAAATAGCGCTTTACACTAAGGTTTGATGCGATCGATTTTGAATATAATCCGCTCAGAACTTCATCCTTAATCTCCGCCAACTGTAGCTGCAGTTTGTTACATAACCCAACCTTTTCGTAAAAGTATGAGATTACACTTTCCGTTCTTTGCTGCTTTCTAGCACGCATGCGGTCCCATCTCTCCGCTAAACCTTCAGTAACAACAAATGTTTGCTTGAATTGCAATTTAAATTCATCCCAAGTATGAATTAATTCAATTTTTGCCTCGAACCAATGAATTGCAGCCCCCTTTAAATGTGCTCGCGCCGTCTCCACAGTGAAATTATCTGGCCAGTTGTTTAACTTAGCACTTGTCTCAACTGCAAGTAACCATCGCTCTGCATTGGGGATATCGCGGTCACCATCAAAGGAGCTGATAACTCTTGATATATCCGGAATTACATGTACACTTGCAGCTGTATTTGCGATCGGTAGTCCCTGATTTGAGTCTGCATTTTGCGGTGTAAAACGTTCAATAATTTGGACGAACAATTCGTCACGTCGACGATTTTCGTTTATGAACATATCCATCATTCTTTGCATGCAAAATATATCAGAATTTGACATACCTGGTGGGATAAGTTCCTTATCCATTATAGCGAAACACATATAGATTTTAATAAATAAATAAGAAATCTGGCTAAAATAAACTTTAATGTTTGTTATTACCTCACAGATGGCGCTGGCTAGTATATATTATAATTTACAGTGACTTTATAGAGACAGTGGCGACAATAGGAGTTCGGCCGCCATTTTGCGTCAAAAAGTTGGCAACACACAATACTCGTACGCATGTGTGGCATACGCCGCAATATATTAGGGAGCAGTCAAAATACCGGCGCTGCGCGCTGTGGTTGCGTTACACATATTACGGCATGAACGACTATTTTCTAAACGTTTTCTTGCAGGTGAAGGAAATGAAAAGACAGTAATATCAAGAAGAACGGATCTAGGGTACGGTGGGCTAAGAGTACGCGTCGGTTAAGAGTAGCGAATCAAAATTTAAATAACCTATAATTAGTTTATAATTTACCGGGTAGTACAAACCAATATTTGCTTTGTGATAACGTCTATCCCGGTAAAAATATTTAGTTTATATTGTGAAAAATTCGGTAGCTGCTTGTGGTAAGTTTATTATTACTTAGTGTTTTGATGTAATTTTTGTTACTTTTTATTTGAAAGAAATTGATATTTACAGTAAAATAACAGTTTCTTCCATTTCTTAGGTTTATGTGCTTATTTCTATTTAGGTTATACATGTTGTGGCAATCATAGCGCGTTGCATAACGCGGAGTTCAATATTAAATTATTTTTGCATGCCATGTCGGCTAAGATCCGCACCAGTGCGCATCCAAAGAGTGCGCAGTTTGAGAATGCGTACTCTTGGACGACTAGTAATTTATACGTATTTCTTTCTAGTTTTAAATGGGTAAATACAAAAGGAAAAGTGAAAGAAAACTAGTTTTCACCGAAAATATTCTACAATCTATTAGAGAGAGGATTGCCAACGGAGAAAGTAAGCGGCATATCGCAGAGACCTTGGGAATACCGGAGTCAACTCTCCGAAAACGACTAAAATGTGGGACAGTTCCTAAATCCCTTGGCAGATTTACTGCAGTATTTAGCGCAGAACAGGAAAAAGAACTGGCTAACCACATCCGCAAATTAGATTCTATGTTTTATGGAATTTCACAAAAACAATTACAATTTGCTGCATATGTGTATGCTGAAAGAAAACAACTTCATCACCGTTTTAACAAAAGTAAAAAAATGGCAGGAAAAGACTGGATTATAGCCTTCAAGAAGCGTCACGGACTTACACTTAGGCAACCTGAAAAAACTAGTCTTGCCAGGGCGGCGGGTTTTAACAAAGTGCAAGTCGGGAGATTTTTTGACAATCTTAAAAGTTTAATTACAACCCATAAATTTGAACGAGCTCAAATTTATAACATGGATGAAACCGGGCTTCTCACGGTTCCGAATAAAATGCCTAAAGTACTAACTAGCAAAGGGAAGAAATCTGTTGGAAAAATTGTTTCCGCGGAAAGAGGTGGGTGAACTATTTCTTTTAAAGTCAATAATATTACCATTAAAAACTTTTTTTTATTGCAGGTACTTTAGTTACAGCTGTGTGCTGTGTCAGTGCAGCAGGTCATTATATACCTCCCGCATTAATCTTTCCAAGAAAAAGAGAGAAACAAGAACTGCTTGATGGCGCTCCTGCAGGATCGATATTGATGGTATCAGATTCCGGCTTTATTAATACCGATTTATTCCTAAAGTGGCTTAAGCACTTCAAATCATCTGCCAAAGCTTCACTAGAATCAAATCATGTTTTGCTAACTCTCGATAATCATAGTTCACATATAAGCTTGGAAGCAATTTTGTTCTGCAGAGAAAACGGGATACATCTACTGAGCCTTCCGCCGCATAGCAGCCATAAGCTGCAGCCTTTGGATGTTTGCTTTTTTCAGCCACTGAAAACTAGCTACAGTGTTGAAGTTGACAAATGGCATGTCAATCATCCAGGAAGACCCATTACGATTTACCAGGTGTCGTCATTATTTGGCGCTGCATATAATCGAATTGCCAACTTAGAAAAAGCACATAAAGCATTTTCATGTACTGGCATTTACCCCTTCAACCCTGAGGTATTTTCTGAAGAGGACTTCATGGGAGCAACAGTAACCGAACGTCCAATCAATGAGACCTTGAATGAAGTAGTGGATCCTAATGATGCAGTGTCACCTGCAGTTTCATCAGCAATATCACCAGATAAACAGATAAATATTATTGAAAATGTTTCCATATCATTTGAAGATTCAGAAATAAGAAATATGTTGCTTAGTGCAAAACCAAATTATCCTGTTGTTTTAGCATCTGCTAACAATCCGGATATTGCTATTTCCTGTCAAGAAAATACTGAACTTAATACAAATGGTGAAATAGAACCTGACAGTGTAGTTCATGCAGAAGATGGAAACGAAAACAAAGGTGGTAATGATGAAAATAGTTGTAGAGCAATAGAGATTGAAAAAGCAGTTGAGGAAGATCAGATAGAAAAAATTATTCCAATCCCAAAATGCAATAGAGAAAAGAAAGCAAGTAAAGGAAAAAAATCAGAGATATTAACTAGCACACCATATAAAGAAGAGGTCGAAAACTGCAACGAAAAACGAGTTGCCAGAAAGATTCCCAAAACAACAAAAAGGAAAATTTTGTGCGAAGAAACTGAAAATAAGAACAAGCCGAAAAACACAAAGACTGCAAAGAATAATAAAGAAAACCCAAAAAGTAACTCATCAAAAAGCAAAAGTCAAAAAAAGAACAATGAGAATTCCACAAACAAAAACCAAGTTGAGGAAGATGCTGGAATTTGTCCAGGCTGTGGCGATACCTATTCTGACCCACCTGAATTAGATCTGATTCAGTGTACCCTTTGTTTAGAATGGTGGCACGAAGTTTGTACAGCGTATACAACTGGTGAATTTCAGTGCGATGTGTGTTTATAAGCATGCGTACTCTTAACAGGCTGGTGTGCGCACTCTTTGACCAACAAGTGGTCTAAGAGTGCGCATTTGCATCATTTTTTTAAATTATTTCTTGATAAGAATTTATAGATTTTAGTTGACTTTTCCTTTGTTTATTTGTAAGCCAAAACTGTAAATAATATTTTTACAAAATTTTTTTGACTTTTTATACCCTACTAATTAATTTATAATTATTTGAGCAAAAAATGCGCACTCTTACCCCCTGTTACCCTATTACACTTATTAAATACAACACAAAATTCCTCTCCAATCAATTTATTACCAAAAGACGTATAATTATGATTTTCGCTACCATTGAGTAAGTCTAATTGAAAACACTTTTTGATCATCCCACAAGTCACACATCAGTGGGTTCAGCATCATATCTTTCAACTTCCACAGCTCCGCCTGAGTGGATGGTCCAGATTCCATCAACTGCTTTCTGAAAACCATCCTTTCAATTGAACGTGTTACTCTGCCTCGTCAACATAATCTCTTCGCTGAATCCAACTCATAGAAATTGTTCGATGGGCTATTGCACTGCGAGTCGAATATGGTATTGCGTTTCACAACAATATCCTCAATTGCTGCCACATTGTCACACATATTAGGTTCCGCCACATTCGTTTTCAGCTATTTTTCGATGCCTTTGTCCTCCAATGCACGCGGAAATACAATTAGGTATTGAATTCACGGCCATCCAAACACAAATTTTTTATCGTCTGCCTCTGGCACTTGACTGCAGAAGTCGCTAATGTCAGGCTGTCATCTGTCATGGTACTATTTTTTGTAGGAATATCATGGCACCTGTCCTTCAAATTTGTCAACCAGTGACGTTTATAGAAGCGCGGGAATGCGCGTGAGCGTAACTATTACCGGAAACACGTGAAATTTGACGCAAAATGGCGGCCGATCTCAACGACCAATCAAAAATTAGACACTCTATTGTCGCCACTGTCTCTATA